ATTTCCCCACTGTGGGATCAATAAAGTTTTATCTTATCTTATCTAAACTGTAGCAAACATAAGCTGTGTTTCCACCAATGTTTTTATGCACATTTTGAAGTATTGTTTTAGAAAAGATTGACAGAAAGAAAAAAAGTCCTCAATTTCGCAATTTAGTTTGCAAATTTGAGATTGAATTGAATTTAAACTATTTCCTGTTTATGCATAATGTCAACATCTGATGTAATTATGCTTTGCATAGCCTGGTTGATTCACTGCAAACTTGCCTGATTTGAATTTCTTTTTTCTTTTCATTTTTTTGCAACATTATAAAAGTTTGCTCTGAATACACATCACAGTTGGATAGAAACATGTCTAATTAAAGCTGCAACAAGGTGCTGACCCTCAGGACAATTTCTCTGAAACTTCCTCATGTGAAGCTGCTCAGACTGCTGTCTGCTGCAGGTAAGATATTGACTCACTTCCTGAAGTTGTTTCTTGCAGAAGGATGTTCATACTCACGTCATGATGAGAGTCTCCTCCCCCGGCTCCCCCAGGACCCCGTCCACAAACAGCGGCGTGTTGGTGAAGCTGTACTGGTTCCACTGCCGTCCTTTGTCAAAGCTCAGCCTGAGAACACAAACAGCAGCTTCATCCAGGGAGCCCACCTTAATCCCCCCACCCACCCCACCCTGCCTGTGTGCACAAGCTAATGACCCCGAGAGCCATCTAASAACTTTATTTCATATTCCCTTCAGGGCTCAGGGACCCTGCTCAGTGAACGCCAATCAGCGAGACTCATTACGACTTCAAACACAGGAAGGAGAAATCCAATGACAGTTGTAGAAGCAGTCATTTTCTACGGCTGCTTGCTTCTTTAACCAGAATCATATCATTTCCCGCTTTGAAGGCAAACTCATTTGCTTTTGTTTGACTAACTTAAGAGTCGCAGCTTCCACTGAGGGAATTAGTCACGCTGTGACAAATGGCTTCTGTCTGGTAATGACTCACCACAGGTGTCGGATGGGAAGCGGAGTGTGTCTTATTGCCACCAAGGCTCCACCTTGGTCCAGATAAAGCACAGCGTACTCCTCATCAAAGATCTGTGGGGGGAGAGAGAGATGGGAAACTCACCAAAGTGTTGTGTTTTTTTTAACATTTCTGCACACATCAAGCTGCTTTCATTCCAAGCTGCTAAACCAAAGAAGCATTAAGCTTTTCTCCATAAAGCCTCAAAGTCATGACTTCACTGCATAAAAACACCCCTGATGATCCAGACTGTGATTTGAGCTTAAAATCTAATTAAACTTGATTTCACATAACAGCATGCTCAGAGTTTACATTTCAGCCCTCGTGTGTCCCATCAGCTTGTAAATAATGAGAATTCATTGCTGTGTTTAATTAGAAACAAGCCTCGTGAACAGAGGACTGATGGATTTCAGGGTTTCACTTTAAGAGAGGCGCACAGACGAAACCAGAAACTCAATTAAATAGCAATTTTCTGTTAGAGAATTGTTTTCAGGACAAAACAGTTTGAAGTAACATTTAAATTAAACCGGTGTTTTTCCTCAGCTCAAAACCAGGATTTAAATTCTGTCATTTGGATGCACAAGGTGAGAGTTTGTGCTTTAAAGCCACTCTGTGTTTAACTGTATGCAAACTGTTTCCTGACGCTGAATAATTCACAGTTTAGGTTTCTTTCAGGCTTTGACCTCAGCTAATGTATTCATATGATCARCTCTGCAGAGGCATGAAGAAGAGGGTGTTGTGTTTGAGGAAGAGTCAGTTCTACATGATGAGAGGCTGCATCTTTTCTTTTTAAAGAGCCATCAAATAAAAGTTAAGCAGCTGCAGATTTTCTGTGTTTATTCTTTGATAAATGTTTTTTTATTCTWATCAACAAATTGAATTATCTTCTTAATGTCAGCACAGTTAACATTAATCCATCTTTATTCAGGCCYGGTGTATTTATCATCACTGCGATTGTGTTTTTTGGTTCTCTGTGGGTTGTCRAATCAAATCAACTCTTTTTATTGTTCCATGTGGGATTTATTTTTAAGTAGTGCAGCACTGYGGGGCAGAACATTGTGTAACAACTAAAAATAACACCAGGAACATGTATAACAGTTAATTATTGCAACAATACTAAATGCTTGTGTAGATAGAAACTCAAAAGGAGAAAAATAGCTGCTAATTTTCTTTTATTTTGTAGGGGTTCRGGGAACGGATGGGTCGCAGAAATACACAGTTGCTTTTTAAAATGTTTTTGTTTCCTGATTTGACTGAAGGCAAACTTCCTGGAACAGAGACTTTGGGATGCTCTTCCAAGTAGATTTAATCAACTTKTATTTGTGCGAGGCTGATGTTTTGGACATCTAAAAGCTACAGAAATAACCCACGACTGTAGTGAGCATTATGAAAACAGACAACTTATTTTAGTTTAATAGTTTGATTTATTGGAATCATCCATTCATTGTTTCCATCCATGTTTCCTGCCATGGTGGAGCTGAAGTCTTTAAGTAACCCAACATACAGGTTTGATAAGAAAAAAGGGTTTATTTAATGTTTTTGTGACGACTGAGTCAAACTAACCTCCCTGGTTCTTCTTTCTTAGAAAGATTCTTTCAAAGGTAGCAGCTTTGTGTGGACRGGGTCTGAGTCCCACCCTCCCTGATACTGGGTCATCAAACACTAATCCTGTTAATCTGCTGTCAACACTGACRCTGCTGCTGGCTCAGCCTGGACACTTCCTGTCCTTCAGCTCGCTCCAGAGTCAATGACAGCGAAAAGTTTCTAACTTTACTTCCTGCTCCTCAGACAGCTTCATGTAGCTCCTGAATGGACCGCTGGTTCTGTGGAGCCACACAAACTTGGCTCAGGAGTCACTTCCTGTCTCTTTCACCTCTGGGTCCACAGTAGTTCACAGTGGTGGGCACCAGTCCGCTAAAGTGCAAATCCGCTAATTGCAGACATAAATATTACATTTGTGCTTTAGCACTCTTACTAATTTTTATAATTCATTAGCAGATTTACGCTTTCTAAAATTAAAATGCAGTACCACTTATAACTAATTATCTACCAGTCATCATTATCTTGAAAAGCAGAAGGTATGACTGTCAACGAATCACAACACGTGATCCATCCAACAGCACCCCTCCCAGATAAACACACTTATTGTGAAGTTTGCTTTGGGTCACGGTTCTGATTTCCCACAATGGGGCGGCTGTGGTGTAGTGGTAGAGCAGCCAGCTTGGGACCCAAAAGTCTTAGGTTCGACTCCCCGCCATACCC